CGTAATTGCTTCAGTCGCTGTTGTAGTTGCTTCAGCCGCTGTTGTAGTCACTCCAGTCGCTATTGTAGTTGCTCCAGCAGTTGTTGTAGCTGCTACAGTACTTGTTGAAGTTACTTCAGCCTCTGTTGTAATTGCTCGAGTCGCTGTAGTAGTTGCTCCAGTCACTACTGGATCTGGTGTAGGTTGTTTTGGATCTAAGCAGTCTGCATCTTGTATTCAAGCTCTCAAAATAATTATTAACACCTACAAGCATGCCCAAAAACAATTGAAATATCCCACAAGAGAAATACACCATCTTATGAGTAGTGACAACCAAACCCAAGATTGATATTCACTCAAAGCACACACACACAAAAACCAACTAAACACCGCCCTTATGACTAGCAACCCAAGTCTCAAGCTTAAGAATACGTCAATTAACTTAAATAACTGATCCTATTACGAGACAATTCAGAAAAAAAAAATTAACCACCATATGACTACTAATCCCTAAACTTCACACTGTAAGCAAGCCTCAATAAACCATATGACTACTAATCCCTAATCTTCACACTGTAAGCAAGCCTCAATAAACCATATGACTACTAATCCCTAACCTTCACACTGTAAGCAAGCCTCGTAACCTTAACGAACAGGTAAATCATCCTTCAACAAGAAGATGATTACCAAAAATATTAGGGAAAAAAAACAACGTAAAAGCCACCCCTGTATGCCTACTGACACCTATCTCACAAAATGAGAACTACTCAAAAAACGTAAAAGCCACCCCTGTATGCCTACTGACACCTATCTCACAAAATGAGAACTACTCAAAAAACGTAAAAGCCACCCCTGTATGCCTACTGACACCTATCTCACAAAATGAGAACTACTGAAAAAAAACGTAAAAGCCACCCCTGTATGCCTACTGACACCTACCTCACAAATTGAGAACCACTCAAAATAAAACGAACCCATTACAAGATGATAACAAATTATCCTGGTCCTACAAAATAATTAGTTCAAAATATTCGAAAAAAAGATGACATAATACACTCTTGTGACCCCCACACATTGAGAACTACTCAAAATAGACACTTTAAAGAAGACAACTCTTATAAACTTAAGTAAACTTAACGACAAGACAAAACCCTCAAAAAAGACCCGCCCTAATTACTACTGACCCCCCAGCCTACACAAGGAGAACCACTCTATGACGATACAAATTTAAAGACGAGACGTCCACAAATTAGAAAATATCAGAAGAAACCAATTTAAAACAACACACTTCGAGCGAGTAGTGACCTTTACATATTGAGAACAAATTTATGTTGATGAAAACTATCACACAACAAGCGTACTTATTAACCTATTTACACACACACACACGGACACACAAGATAAAAAAACAACTCTTTAGATATTCCTATTAAATCACACAATTAAAACAATCAGACTACTACAGTCTTCCACTATGTCTAGTGATACCCAACTCTTAGATTGAGAGCTAGTCAATTTTCATTTTTTAAAACATTTACTTCAACAATATAATAATACCTATTGCCATTATACGTTGAGAACACTTCTATAGAAATTGAATGGAATGGTCATCGTTTCAGTTACCGGTTATTCCCTTTGTCATCACAGCAGCTGTGTTGTAGTTACCTTTGTTTTATTATCACAACATTTATTACAGTTTAAGAAGGGAGAAAATATATAAATTAATATATAAATATATATATTATATATAAATATTAAGGATGTTTATTCCGTGCTGATATTATTATTGTTCCAATGATTATTTGTTCTGTACATAAAGTGCTTAGTTTGAGTTAGACTTGAGATTTCATTTTGTATAGATGTTGCAGTAGCAGTTGTCCTAGTTTATAAATTTAGATAACTATCGCCACGATGAGTCCCACACGCACAACTTCAATAGTTGTATTTGAAATAAGTTACACTGTTATTTCCATGGAATGTATTTTACTAGACGTAATGTCAACACGGAAATCTTGTTTAACTCTAAAACTTTGTAGAAAAAGAATGTATATTTCAATCATGGCTATTTGATATAAATCAGATCTTATAAATTGTTAGATATATAGGCCTACACATATATGATAGCATACAATATATACTATATTTGCTCAGAACCTGGTTTCTACATTGATAAATACATTACCAATGGCGTGTTAAATAAAAGAAAGTATTTGATTGGATTATTTACTCCGTTTCTTACATTCATTTTACAAATCTGTTTTTGTTGAACTACAATACTTGTGTATTTGTGTCTAAATAAAGATAATAATTAATAAAACGAAACATATTTTAAATGATACACCCCATCGTCTTCATCATAGATACTTAGGATCGGCCCGTTCGGGACGATTTCTTTCCACCAGGGCGAGGACTGAAAGATCTACAAACTCTTTTGTTCCCCAATATGTCCGAATTTACCAGCGTGCTGCCCCAGACGTCACAAATCTTAATGAGAACTAATAAGTCACTGACATGGCTAGGAGAGTTCACTGAATGGCTGTTTTTTCACTAGTGAAATAATTTAATGTAGAGCTCTTGTGTTCAAATTGCTTTGTTTATGTGATGAAAATGTACAATGCAATCAAAAACATTACCATTTTGTTTGGATCAATATAAGAATCTTATTGTATCTAAAAAAATTAATATATGATTTAGGATCTAATGGTTTATGTACCTCGATGCGAAAAAGTATTGGCATGATAGCCCACTTTCGGGTTGGGGGGGGGGGAGAGAAATTTGTTCAGGTGAGAACACTCAGAGTGGAGGTTGTAAGAAAATGTGTGTACACTCTGAGTTTTGAAAATGTGGGTACACTCTGAGTTTTGATAATGTGGGTACACTCTGAGTTTTGATCATTTGGCTACACTCTGAGTTTTGATAATGTGGGTAAACTCTGAGTTTTGATCATGTGGCTACACTCTTAGTTTTGATAATGTGGGTACACTCTGAGTTTTGATAATGTGGGTACACTCTTAGTTTTGATAATGTGGTACACTCTGAGTTTTGATAATACGGGTACATTTTGAGTTGAAATGTATGCCTTTTTTAATACACTCTTAATTAGAAATGTATTTCCTTGTGAGTTATTTACACCAGCTCCATCCACCTCGGGTGCTGGTGTACCAGCTCCATCCACCTCGGGTACTGGTGTACCAGGGTGCTGGGTGGCCGAATGGTCTAAACTGAGCAAATCTCACGGTGGTGGTCTGGAGTTCAATTCCAGCCAGAGCCCAGTCAATAACACCACCAGCAACCCGGGTAGATGAGACTCGTTAACCATAGATTGGCAACTCATCTAAGAGAAGGAAACTCTGAAATGGAGTCCCGAATGGCGGATAACATTGATACAATGAAACATTCCGGCAACTCCTGCGACGTCACTGGTGCCATGTATCATCCAATGATGTTACCTTGGGTTACCCAGCGTGAAGAGAGGCAATTTGCTGTTGGAAACCAGCTTATTATCCTTAAAGTATTATCCCAGGCCATGTGGATTTCGTCCTCCGAAGCCCAGTCCATCGTCACATTGTGACGGACGGATGCCAGCTCAGGTACCAGCTCCCTCCACCTCAGGAGCTCCCTCCACCTCAGGTACTGGTGTACCAGCTCTATCCACCTCAGGTACTGGTGTACCAGCGCCCTCCACCTCAGGTACTGGTGTACCAGCTCCATCCAACTCAGGTACTGGTGTACCAGCTCCATCCACCTCAGGTACTGGTGTACCAGCTCCATCCACCTCAGGTACTGGTGTACCAGCTCCCTCCACCTCAGGAGCTCCCTCCACCTCAGGTGCTTGTGTAACAGCTCCCTCCACACCAGGTACTGGTGTACCAGCTCTATCCACCTCAGGTACTGGTGTACCAGCTCCATCCACCTTGGGTGCTGGTGTACCCGCTCCATCCACCTCAGGTGCTGTTGTACCAGCTCCATCCACATCGGGTGCTGATGTACTGTTGTTTTTGTTAGTCCAGGTTTTTCTGAGAATTGACTCGCTTGGGATTGACTCAGTTTAGACCGCTCGGCCACCCGACAATTATAGGGGCATTCCTCTTGCAGTCCTCTTGGATAGTAAACATTTTAGCTAAGTGTATATTTAATTTTTCATATTTGTTTTACCGTTTTCTGTTCGCGGAAGCAGGCGTCTTGCCGACACCATCGTTGTTTTGGTGCGTAATTTCTTTCAGGTTATCGTGTACTTTGGTTTCCTTTATTTCATTCTACATAACCTGATTGTAACCCTACCCCCCCCCCCAACTTATATCGAAACTGTTACAGCTTTTCAAATAAATAGTTATCAGCTAACGTATCATCCTGGCTGCCATGATAACATGACATTCATCTTATAAACATCTCATTTGAAATGGTGGTTTGTTAATCTCCTGGACTGGCAAGGTGCGATTGTGAGGGGGGGGGGGTCGTGAGTTGGTCGGTTTCGACCCAAGGAGCTCGCCAGTCGAAAACTATTGTGGGGAAAATAGACGCAGATAATTTAGAATATGCCATTGGAAAGGTTAGACAACTTGAGTTTAAAAAAATCAAATTTAGTTCTCCCTTGCTTAGTTTCATTAAAGAAAAACGTAACGAGCTTGAAAACTATCATTACATTGAAACGGTTTTAACATTTAAAAAACAAAAAACAAATAATAGTTACTTCATGAAATATATTTGATCTCTTCAATTTATTTTCCGCATGTGTTCCTTATCATAAGCTGAACTGTTAAACTTTTGAAAAGTTATCCTGATGAAATGTAACTGAAATAGCACTAGCTAATGCAGTCGAGTGCGTGGTTAACTATAGAAAAACATGAAAAATAAATCTATTCACATTAATAAAGAGACTTCTGCAACAAACACAAATATTAAAAAATATATGCACCATACCCACTCCTATAACAAACGAGCCCATAGCGTACTTTGTATATTTTTATTGAACAAATATATTTTCTTAATAGTTGTACAGAACTAAAAAAAATAACAACATGCGTTATAATATCACAGCGTTTTCTTGTTACATGATGTCATTAAATAATTAAACATATTTTTTTTAAACGCCACGTATAAGGTAGTTTAAATCGTTTTATCAAGTTGATGTAATGTTTTGAAGATAAAAAAAAATTAGTTTTAAAAATTCAAAATTATAAATAAAAATATAATTGATAACACATGCAATATATACATAATAAATGGTAATGTAAGCCAAAAGGCTTACGCTTGTTTGAATTCATCTGCTCACCTTTTCATTCACAGGCTAAACAAATCACCACCATCCGAGGTAACCATTAAATTCAAATTTGATCATTACCGTAATGAATTAAAGTTGTCATTTCTAGAATGTACAAGAGATAAACATCACCGATGTGACACAGACAACTCAAATAACACACATCACATTTCAAATATAAAAATCTTCACATTGGAGTCGTTGCGTTATAAAAAAAAAATTGGTGCACGTTAGTAGTTTAATCTTTACAAAATTGTCAAACGGGAATTATTATCTTATAAAGCTGATATTGTCACAATACTATAATAAGATTAATAAGTTTGTTTATTCATAATAAAATGTCTATCTTATGAAGTGGGCCAGTGAAGAGGAAATCAGTGTAGCCGTGGAAGTGAACAAGAAACTGACACCATCTGTGAAGTAAAGGAAAGAAAAGTAATTAATTTGAATTTCTCAAACTAAACACCAATCACCATCAAATTAAACAGCAATCACCATCAAATTAAACAGCGATCACCATCAAATTAAACACCAATCACCATCAAATTAAACAGCAATCACCATCAAATTAAACAGCGATCACCATCAAATTAAACAGCAATCACCATCAAATTAAACACCAATCACCATCAAATTAAACAGCAATCACCATCAAATTAAACAGCGATCACCATCAAATTAAACAGCAATCACCATCAAATTAAACAGCAATCACCATCAAATTAAACAGCAATCACCATCAAATTAAACAGCAATCACCATCAAATTAAACAGCAATCACCATCAAATTAAACAGCAATCACCATCAAATTAAACAGCAATCACCATCAAATTAAACAGCAATCACCATCAGATTAAACAGCAATCACCATCAAATTAAACAGCAATCACCATCAAATTAAACAGCAATCACCATCAAATTAAACACCAATCACCATCAAATTAAACACCAATCACCATCAAATTAAACACCAATCACCATCAAACTAAACAGTAGTCACCATCAAATTAAACAGCAGTCACCATCAAATTAAACAGCAATCACCATCAAATTAAACAGCAATCACCATCAAATTAAACAGCAGTCACCATCAAATTAAACAGCAATCACCATCAAACTAAACAGTAGTCACCATCAAATTAAACAGCGATCACCATCAGATTAAACAGCAATCACCATCAAATTAAACAGCGATCACCATCAGATTAAACAGCAGTCACCATCAAATTAAACAGCAGTCACCATCAAATTAAACAGCAATCACCATCAAATTAAACAGCAATCACCATCAAATTAAACAGTAGTCACCATCAAATTAAACAGCAATCACCATCAAATTAAACAGCAATCACCATCAAATTAAACAGCAATCACCATCAAATTAAACAGCAATCACCATCAAATTAAACAGCAATCACCATCAAATTAAACAGCAATCACCATCAAATTAAACAGCAATCACCATCAAATTAAACAGCAATCACCATCAAATTAAACAGCAATCACCATCAAATTAAACAGCAATCACCATCAAATTAAACAGCAATCACCATCAAATTAAACAGCAATCACCATCAAATTAAACAGCAATCACCATCAAACTAAACAGCAGTCACCATCAGATTAAACAGCAATCACCATCAAATTAAACAGCAATCACCAAAAAATTAAACAGCAATCACCATCAAATTAAACAGCAATCACCATCAAATTAAACAGCAATCACCATCAAATTAAACAGCAATTACCAAAAAATTAAACAGCAATCACCATCAAATTAAACAGCAATCACCAAAAAATTAAACAGCAATCACCATCAAATTTAACAGCAATCACCAAAAAATTAAACAGCAATTGCCATCAAATTAAACAGCAATCACCATCAAATTAAACAGCAATCACCATCAAATTAAACAGCAATCACCATCAAATTAAACAGCAATTGCTATCAAATTAAACAGCAATCACCATCAAATTAAACAGCAATCACCATCAAATTAAACAGCAATCGCCATCAAATTAAACAGCAATCACCATCAAATTAAACAGCAATCGCCATCAAATTAAACAGCAATCACCATCAAATTAAACAGCAATCACCATCAAATTAAACAGCAATCACCATCAAATTAAACAGCAATCACCATCAAATTAAACAGCAATCACCATCAAATTAAACAGCAATCACCATCAAATTAAACAGCAATCACCATCAAATTAAACAGCAATCACCATCAAATTAAACAGCAATCACCATCAAATTAAACAGCAATCACCATCAAATTAAACAGCAATCACCAAAAAATTAAACAGCAATCGCCATAAAATTAAACATCAATCACCAGAAAATTAAACAGCAGTAACCATCAAATTAAGCAGCAATCACCATTAAACTAAATAGCTATCACCATCAAATTATTCTTCTGCTTCTATATATTAAGGGCCAACAATCAATTTATTGATCATTATTGCTCCTATGCATGTAGAATGTATTTGCAATGTTTCTGTGTCAGGTGTTAATGAGGATATTTCACTGGTTGCAAGGGCTACTTAGTAAAGGTATCTCGCACTGGGGGTTGGAAGGTTTTGAGGCACTAAACACAAATGCGTCAAGTGTCACCTCAACTGCTCCTTTTGGAAGCTTGTTCCAGTCCCTGATTGTATTTGGCAGCAATGAGCAGTTCCTACAGCAATCACCATCAAATTAGGGGCAATAACTATTTTGAAACATGTATCAGCAATGGAATAAGTGAGAGGTTGTGTTATGAACTATGTCACAATAAATAGAGTCAAGTTTGTTACAGTGATTGACAACACTTAAGTGACAGTTAATTAATACAAACTTAATAACGACGAAACATTGGACGGGTAGGTAGATGATATCATGATTTAATGTAGATTAACAGGAAACTATTTCAATCTTTGCAGTCGTTAGATTTCCTTTTATTCTCCGTGTCATCAGATCCCCCAACTCTCTGTGTCATCAGATCCCCCACTATTCTGTGTCATAAGATCCACCCAACTCTCTGTGTCATCAGATCCCCCACTATTCTGTGTCATCAGATCCCCCCAACTCTCTGTGTCATCAGATCCCCCACTATTCTGTGTCATCAGATCCCCCCAACTCTCTGTGTCGTCAGATCCCCCACTATTCTGTGTCATAAGATCCACCCAACTCTCTGTGTCATCAGATCCCCCACAATTCTGTGTCATCAGATCCCCCCCCAACTCTCTGTGTCATCAGATCCCCCACTATTCTGTGTCATCAGATCCCCCCAACTCTCTGTGTCATCAGATCCCCCTCTATTCTGTGTCATCAGATCCCCCCAACTCTCTGTGTCATCAGATCCCCCACTATTCTGTGTCATCAGATCCCCCCAACTCTCTGTGTCATCAGATCCCCAACTATTCTGTGTCATAAGATCCACCCAACTCTCTGTGTCATCAGATCCCCCACTATTCTGTGTCATCAGATCCCCTCTACTCTCTATGTCGTTAGATTCCCCTCTATTCTCTATGTCGTTAGATTCCCCTCTACTCTCTATGTCGTTAGATTCCCCTCTACTCTCTATGTCGTTAGATTCCCCTCTATTCTCTATGTCGTTAGATTCCCCTCTACTCTCTATGTCGTTAGATTCCCCTCTACTCTCTATGTCGCTAGATTCCCCTCTACTCTCTATGTCGTTAGATTCCCCTCTATTCTCTATGTCATCAAATTTAACTCTTCTGTCTATGACATTAGACATTGCATTTAATGGTATAGTTTATGAGAGTAATACATCAGACAGAATGTACATGGAAACCAAATATATTTATTATTTTTTACGTTCACTCTTTACGGTATAAACAAAATTACTTTTTTTTTTAAGCAGCCACGTCTTTTTCCCGTTTCGTTTTTAATTGTACTTCCAACCTCCTTCCAGTCTTCTTTTCTTTTGAGACTTGTCCCAATTTAAACAAAATTTGTTTGGCCTTTATATTAATTTTGCTTTTTTTAAATGTGTTTTTCTTTATTGGTTCATAAATCTGACTCACTGTACAACTAAAAGTTGTATGAACATATATCGTTAAATGATCTTTTACCAAAGTAATGCTAATAATATAGTGCAACTGAAAGATGTATGAACATATATCTTTAAATTATCCCTTACCAGGGTAATGCTAATAATATTGCAACGAGAGTGTCAAACACTAGACTGAAAAGATTCATGAGAATAGGAAAGAAATATGTTGAAATTACTTTGTGTCATTGTAGTTGCTCCAGCCACTGTTGTAGTTGCTCCAGCCGCTGTTGTAGTTGGTCCAGCCGCTGTTGTAGTTGCTCCAGCCACTGTTGTAGTTGCTCCAGCCGATGTTGTAGTTGCTCCAGCCGCTGTTGTAGTTGCTTCAGCCACTGTTGTAGTTGGTCCAGCCACTGTTGTAGTTGGTCCAGCCACTGTTGTTAGTGATTCAGCTGCTGGTGAAGTTATATCAGCTCCAGCTCCACTTCCAGCTCCACTTCCAGCTCCACTTCCAGCTCCACTTCCAGCTCCACTTCCAGCTCCACTTCCAGGATCCATTGCTACATTAATGCAAAGATAATGTTAACAATACATGTTTATTAATCCATTTTGACTTACGCTAGAAGATCCCAGTTACTTTCATGAAAATAATACCATGACGATCTTAATTTTAACCCATCAAATCTCACGATATGCTCGCCAAAGTTATCTGAATCCTAAAGACCTAAAAGGTTTACCCTGTACAGGAATATCTCATGTCATTTCAAATATACATTAGTCGTTTCAAATTTTATGAAAAAAACCCGAAAGACAGATTTATGTGGTTAGACTTTAACGGAAGAATCGGAAATCGAAAGGCTGAATTAAAGCCACGCTTCTCATACTGAAAGCTGAATTAAAGCCATGATTCAGATACCAAAGGTTAATTAAAAGTCATACTTCAGATACTAAAAGCTGATTTAAAGACATGATTCAGATACCGAAAAGCTGAATTAAAGCCATGATTCAGATACCGAAAGGCTGAATTAAAGCCATGATTCAGATACTAAAAGCTAATTAAAGCCATGATTCAGATACTAAAAGCTAATTAAAGCCATGATTCAGATACTAAAAGCTGAATTAAAGCCATGATTCAGATACTAAAAGCTAATTTAAAGCCATGATTCAGATGCTAAAAGCAAATTAAAGCCATGGTTCAGATACTAAAAGCTAATTAAAGCCATGATTCAGATACTAAAAGCTGAATTAAAGCCATGATTCAGATACTAAAAGCTGAAGTAAATCCATAATTCAATTACTAAAAGCTGAATTAAAGCTATGATTCAGACACTAAAAGCTGAATTAAAATCATGATTGAGATATAGAAAGGCTGAATTAAAGCTATGATTCAGACACTAAAAGCTGAATTAAAATCATGATTGAGATATAGAAAGGCTGAATTAAAGCTATGATTCAGATACTAAAAGCTAATTAAAGCCATGATTCAGATACCGAAAGGCTGAATTAAAACCATGATTCAGATACTAAAAGCTAATTAAAGCCATGATTCAGATACCGAAAGGCTGAATTAAAGCCATGGTTCAGATGCCGAAAGGCTGAATTAAAGCCATGATTCAAAGTTTTATTTCAAGCCATGCTTTAGATACTAAGAGCTGAATTAAAGCAACGCATTAGATACTACTAGCTGAATTAAAACCATGATTAAGATTCTAAAATCTGAATTAAAGCCACGATTCGGATACTGAAAAGCTTAATTAAAGCCACGATTCAGATACCGAATTGTCTAAGTAAAGCAAAAATTATTGTCACGTATTGTCAATTATGATTGGCGTTTTCTCCGGACTGACGAAAGGGTGGGAACTTTAAGAAGACATAAAACATAGTTTTTTCGAATAAATCCTTTAATGTAATATCGAGTAATATTGGGTGGGACTGAAAATTTGCCAAAACATGAAACGTACTTTGTAAGATTCCAAAGGCACGCAACCGCACATTTATTAACGCCCCTGAAACATATTAATAATCTAATAAGCCATTCGCTTTTTAAGAGCAGATTTATTTCACAACCATTTCAGTAAAAAAAAAAAAAAATATTACGCACCAAACGCATTTGCGATATTTAAAACAAAACCAAATCTGAAGTAGCGCAGCTATCGGGAATTTCGTATTGTGAAATCAGTGTCATCGTATTTCCTTCTTCTTCCCCTTGACAAAAAATTGGTGGTTATGGGGCTTGGGGTGGGGCTGAAAATGTGAACGAATATTCTGTCGTCAGCAACGAGTCTATGTGCCAAGTTTCGACTTATTAGACTGTCGGGAAGTGGGTCAATTAGCCGTCCGAAGATTTTGCCAGTCCCCCTTCAAGCCAGTCAGCCGGCCACAAACTAAAGCCAAGTTAATTTAAAGGACTTTAAACAAAGAAAAGCAACATAATTCTGTAAAACCACGTATGAAACAAGTAGAGGTCGTAAAAACTTTCTAAAGATTTCAAGTGGTCTACAGATTTAAGCAGAAACAATTTGGGACAGGAGGGGTTGAAGCCTGGACAACGTTACATAACATTTACGGTAGTTGAGTAGGGGCACGTGAAGGTGTGATCTTTTATTTTATTTCAATTGTGAATTTTCGAAAAAAAAATAAAAATAAAGAGCGTTTGAACTTGAAGACTTATCAACAAGTTGATCATTTTGATCTATTCTAAATGTCCATAAAGTATTTCTGTTAATAGAATGTTTTAGTTGAATATTTAGGGGCTTCGCGGCCCGATCGGACTAAAGACAACTGAGGGAGTGGTTGACGGCTGGTTTGGTTGGCGGGGTGGTGCGCTTGGGAGGACCATATGAGCCTCAAGGCTCGGTGTTCGCTGATTTTCTTAAGTAAGTTAGTTAGTTGAATATTTACTTCGACGTTTCCCTTTTAGCTCTAAGTTGGGAAAGCCACATCGCCAAAGCTCGCGGCGGTGTCTCACGTGATCTGCCTCTTCGCGGCGCGGAAGACTAGTACAGATTCAAATCCCGAAGCCAAAGATGACAACTACTCGTAACGTCCTGACCGAAAGCCTCACTGGGCAAGGGGGCGGGGGGGGGCGACGGAAAACCTCCTCCCTCAATGAGGGGAAGATTTCTGCCCAAACTACTATTACTCATGGATACGTCTAAATCCTTTACGCAGGTTCGACTGGCGGGGTTTGGAAAAGATCCTTCCCCGCAGACCGAGGGCTTCCTCAAAACGCCCTCGATACCCACTGCTGGGAGACTGGGTGGGACCGAGTACGGCTACAGATGTGGTCTTGAAACGCCCTCGATACCCACTGCTGGGAGGCTGGGTGGGACCGAGTACGGCTACAGATGTGGTCTTGAAACGCCCTCGATACACACTGCTGGGAGGCTGGTTGGGACCGAGTACGGCTACAGATGTGGTCTTGAAACGCCCTCGATACCCACTGCTGGGAGGCTGGTAGGGACCGAGTATGGCTACAGATGCGGTGCGTGGACTGCATCCCCTCCCCACGGATGTCCCCATGGGGAAAGCGTCCCCTCTCGTGCGTGTGACGCTTGACAGGCGCGCGCGAGGCCATCAAGTTACTGTTCGAGACCGAAAGGGTGGGACGTGACACTCAAAACATTCCCTGGTTGTTCTCCAGTTGAATGTGTGTGGTATCAGGCAGAAATCACACGAAGTAACCAAATTACTCCACGAACGTAACGTGGACGTAGGGCTCTTTCAAAAGATGTTGCTGCACGGCAAGCCGTTTCACATTACTAGTTACTCACTCTACCATTGTAAGTTTGACCGCTGCCAAGGCAATACCACAGTGGTTAGAAGTGACCTCGCGGTGGAGGTCATTGAGTCCAGACGTTATTTGAATACTGACACGTTGTCGGTAAAAGTCACCAAGTGTGGGAACACGTTCGCCGTGATGAACGTTTACAATTCTCCAAGCAATGTGATCACGATCCCCACTCACAGGGAGACGATTTTTAAAAGGACTATTATTACAGGAGATTTCAATGCCAAATCCGCCATGTGGAGTTATCCTGAGAGGAACGTCTCGGGTAAGCACGTGGAAGAGGTCTGTCTTGAGACCAATCTTATGAGACTCCAGGACGAAAAGAGTGCGCCCACTTTTCTTCACTACGGCCCCGGAATGGAATCACGGCCAGATCTGAAGCTCGTGTCCGCTGATCTCGCGGGACATCAGAATCTTAAAGTCCTGGAAGAAATCAGGAGTGACCATCTTCCCCTTTTACTCGAGATTGGCTTAGGTCACGCCAAAACCAAGTGCGAAAAACGCCAATGGCTCTTCCGGAAAGCCAGCTGGGGGAAATTTTGAAAGTCAATGCGAGAACAAGCTCAAAATTATAGCAGTCGACGTGGCCGACTCAGACGTAGATGTTGCTGTCGAGAAATTTAATAGTACAATCCTCGAGATCACCCGTAAGACGATCCCGAGAACGAACGAGAAGCAGCCGTACAAGCCTTTTTGGAACAAAGAGCTGGGAAAACTCGTGAAGCGAAGAGCAAAAGCCCGGCAAGAAGCCCCGAGAAAGAAAACGCCTGCTGCTTGTGAAGGCTACAATCAACTTACGGCCGAAGTCCGGGCAGCTGTCCAAAAGGCGAAAAAATGGAAGTGGATAAGTGCATGTGAAAAGCTCGATCTCCAGGACGGCCGGAAAGTGTGGAATCTGCTAGGAAGTCTCTCTGAGGCAGGAAAAGCAAAAAACCCGCAATCAATACTGACAGAGAAAGGCGTGAGGCGAGTGACGCAAAAAGGGCACAAGTGCTCTATGCTCACTTCGCCAAAGTGAACAAGAAGGCAAGAGAGACCCAAGAGCACCGAGAGGTCCGCCGTCTCAGGAAAAGGGGTTCTCGTATCCAGCGCACTGGACCCCACACTGAGATTTTCACAACACCCTTCACAATGGAAGAATTGCGTAGCACACTAGATAAGTGTTTGGCAGCGAAAGCATCAGGTCCCGATAAAGTTCACAATGAAATGTTAACCAATCTGGGTAAACAAGTAAGAGAACTTCTGCTGGCTCTCATAAACCGAACTTGGACTACAGGTATCTTACCGAAAGTGTGGAAGCAGGCCATAGTGGTTCCCGTACCAAAGGAAGGTAAACCAGGCCATTTACCAAGTAGCTATAGGCCGATATCGTTAACGTCTTGTGTGGGAAAAGTGGCCGAGCGAATGGTAAATGGGCGACTTTACTGGTTTTTGGAGAGTAATAAGTGCCTACCACCGACGCAAGGTGGCTTCCGTAAGGGTCGCCAACCCAAGGATCAGGTGATCTGTCTTGTTCAGTCCATGAGCAACGAGCTTTAAAAGAAAAATCACACGGTTGCAGTTTTCTTTGACCTCAAGCAAGCGTACGACCACGTGTGACGCGCAGGCCTCATGTATAAGTTCCAGGAACTGGGGATTTCTGGCAAAATGTCCGCGTGGCTGACGGACTTTCTCAGGAACAGAACCATTGTCAACCTGGTTGGTAATAGTTTGTCGAGGTGGCTTGCTCTGGAGGACGGACTCCCCCAGGGATCCGCCCTCAGCTGCACCCTGTTCCTGGCGTACGTTTACGACTTGCAAGAGGGCTTCGTTTCCGATAACGCGATGTTCGCGGATAATTTAGTAATTTGGACCTTGGTAAAGACATCAACCATCTGCAGAACCGGCTGCAAAATTATCTGCATAGCATCGAAGACTATGCGAGAAGGTGGAAAATGATTGTGAACACCGAGAAGACGGTTTACTCTAAGTTCACGAACGGAAGAAAGGCGCTTAAGGTCGATGTAAAACTCTCCATAAACGGAAAAGATCTGGTATGGGACAGGACACCAGTTTACTTGGGTGTGAAGTTGGACCAGAAACTCCGACTTCACAACCATGTACACGAACTGTGTGCTAAAGCTTCACAAAAACTGGGTCTGGTGAAAAATTTGGCCTGCACTAGATGGGGCGCAGACGCAAGGCTGCTGAGATGGCTCTATCTCAGCAGTGTGAGGGGGGCCATGGGCTACAGTTTGCCTGTCCAAACCTTCGCGAGTCACACGGCTCTGGAGGAACTGGACCTCATCCAAAACCGAGCTCTAAGGTTTGTATGCGGAGCAATGCGAACCACGCCCACGTCGTCTGTGGAAGTCATGTCAAATGTCAAACCGCTCGAGGTCAGGCGGGAAAAGGCAGTCCTTACGACGGTGGAACGGTTCCGGCTCATGGAAAGAGAAAAACCCTGTTTCCAACTGCAAGACTATTGGGTAAAAAAGTCCAGATTGAAGAGACCATCCTTCATGGACACGGCGCACAGTCTCGAAAAAGACGTAATTTTACCCTGAAACAGGGAGAAACTGAAAGTGATCCCCGCGCGGGGACCTCACAAAAGCCTATCCCGACCAGACATTCGACTAGACATGATTACCACCAATGTAAACAAAAACATTCCTCAACCAGAACCCTCAGAGGCTGTACGTAACACGATTAACACTTACCAGGACAGTCTGGTTAAACTCTTCATGGACGGCTCGTGCTTTGCGAGGGAAAAGCGTAGTGGCTACGGTGTCCTTATCCAGTATCCCGCAGAGATAGCCCCACCCGAAGAGCTATCTGGCCCAAGCGGAAGCAATGCAAAGAGCATCGATGCGGAAATTGAGGCGATACTGGTAGCTCTTAAAAGGGTCCACCAATGGCTAGCGAAAAGAAAACCCTTCCCGGACGTAGTGGTCTTCACCGACTCTCGTTCAGCTCTTGAACACATTGGGGGGGGGGGGGGGCCCGGTGGGTTCAAAAATGGTCTTAAAAGGGTCCACCAATGGCTAGCGAAAAGAAAACCCTCCCCGGACGTAGTGGTCTTCACCGCCTCTCGGTCAGCTCTTGAACACATTGGGGGGGGGGGGGAGCTCGGTGGGATCAAAAATGGTCACAGCCATTTTGGAGACAGTAGGCAATATCTATGCGAAAGGCTCTAAGGTAGTCTTACAGTTCATCGCTTCGCACTGGGAGGTGTCGCTTCCTGACAGGGCAGACTTCCTAGCCAAAGAAGGCGCGGCCCTACCTCAACCAGACAAGCCGATGACTCAGCTGGGAGTCACGGCTTGGATCAAAGACCATTTCAAGGACAAATGGCACAGAAGGTGGGACACGGCGGCCACTGGACGACAGCTTGACCAGAGAATGCAGCGCCCGAGCAAGAGCGACCCCAGGTGGGAACTTCGTCGTGGAGAACAAAGCCTTATCACTCAGATGAGGACTGGACACTGCTCGACGCGCAGCTATCTCCATCGACATGACAACAGAAGGGAACCATTGTGCCGGTTATGCGGACAGGAAGAGGAGACAGTAGCTTACTTGATGGTCACGTGTCCGAGTAGTAGGGTGGGGGCCGACGGTAGGAATCCAGAGGCCTTCCTAAATAAAACTAAATAACCGTATCATGTTACAAAACATGTATTTGAAAAAGAAGAAAACACCATTATACCACCCACACAACGAGAACCACTCAAAATCAGAAATATTTGATTAGCTCCCAATAAAAATAGATAACCGTATCATGTCACAAAACATGTATTTTAAAAAGAAAAAAAACCCTGATACCTCCCACGCTATGAGAACCACCAAACATACTACAACCCGCTCTTCTGAGTTGTAAACTCTAAACCGAGCTTGACAACCAACTAACGAAAATAAACATGTAACCAACAAGACCATTCATTAGCATCCCCTTAACACATACAATTTCAACAAAAAAAAAAATACACTACCGCCCCCCTTAACCCAAGTATGAGAACCGATCGATAAAGTTAATTAAACCTTACAAAAAAGAAGAACACCCACTAAAAATCGCCATATTAAACGATCACAAAAAACAAGAAGTAAAAAAGAAACAAAAACACCCACCTTTATCACCACTAACCAAACCCTGAGTAGCCTTCAATGAACTTAAATAACCTTATCATGTCACAAAGGAAGTATTTTAAAAGAAGAAAACACCCTTATGACTAACACACAATGAGAAACGTTCGTTAGAAAATCAATCCTCACGTTATGAGAACCACTTAAAATATACAAGAAAACTAATTAAAATTCAATAATAATAATAATTTAAAAACTAGCAAACAAAAGGACCCTCACATAATGAGAACCACTCGATAAGATCCCCCTTATCACTAATAATAAATAACTCAAGTTTGAAAACCATTCAAAATATAACTGCTAAGACTACTAATTTAAACAGCACACTACAAGAACTCTAATTAGGAACCAAAGCGGTCCTCAAAGTAGACAAGAGGAAGATTAAGAACAACCATTATGACTAACATACAATGAGAAACGCTGGTTAGTTAATATTCCCCTATTTCTATATAAAATGACAGGTAGCCGCAGACAATGTCCCAACATCCCCTCTGGACATTTAGGTAGTTTTGGAAGCTTTAAGACCTGTGCAACAAACAAAGCAATAGGTGTATGACTTGGCGACTTTTATTTGACGACTTTATAATATTTGAAAATTGTGAAAAATCTGTATATAATACTATGATAAATCAATATTTACATATGTACATAATAAAAATTGTGATAAAGCTATACCTGTGATAAAATATGTACTTTTAATAATTTTAAAAATTTAATAATATATACTTAAAAATGATGATGCAACTATGAATTTCTTGGCAATTTAAATATAAATTATGTATATATATACAAAACGGTACCTCTTTGTAGTCTTTAATTTTGAGAATAACACGACTTGAGAACCACTCCTTGTAAAATTACAAAGTAATTATGTGATTATCCCCCCTTAATTACCTCCTTTTGTAGGTCCTATATAACTATTCCTCCTAAACCTCCTTCAAAATTCTACCTGAGTGGACATTACTATACTACTCACTCAGCCATCCCATGATAGAGATGGTAGGTTGTTGTTCCAACTCACCTATGTCTCTTTTAACAAGATGAAAATATGTCTGCTGTGTACTAAAAGATTTAAACTCAGTCCGCCAAGAGCATATATCTTTTGTAGGAAATGCACTCGATGAAGTGGATGCCTTCCCATATTTAGGCAGCACTATAGACCAAAACGGTGGATCGAAAGCGTATGTCAGAGCTAGATCAACATATAAAGTGAATATGGGCGTGAAAGAATCTGGCTCTAAAAAACAAATTCAGAATTTTCAACACAAATGTCAAAACAGTCCTACTTTGTGGAACGAAAATTTGAGAACAATAATGAGCACCATGCAGTAATTTCAGACCTCAAGAAACACTTGTCTTAAAAACGATTCTGAATATCATATGACCAAACACCATCACCAAAAAACACTTACAGGAAATACCTAACAGTAGCCTATTGCTGAAGACATCATTAGGAAAAGATGGAGGTGGATAGGGCACACTCTTTGTAAACTAACAGATAACATCACCAGACAAACCCTTACATGGAATCCACAGGGAAAAATAAAAAGAGGAAGTCCAAAGATGAATGTAGAATGCGAGCTACGGGATACAACTGGAAGCAACTGGAAACGAAAGCACAGGACCGAGATAAATGGCCTTCTTGTAGATGGGATAAAAAAGCGAAAGTAGATAAGAAAGGAAGGAAGATGTAAGTTTTCATATACTTTCTTGTCCCATCTAATTTACTTAATTAGTTTATGTGAACATTGGACAAGTATTTGTAATTTTTTTTACTGTAATATTTTTTTTTATTTATTTGTAAGTACTGAAGTGTATGACGTTATTAGAAAAAAAAAACATGTGTGAATTCATATTACATATTTCTGCAGTCATGTTACGACCAAGTTTCATCCAAAGAACGTCATAGCGGAAGAGTTGAAAACGGGGGTGTACGACCGTGTTCCAATGTCATCATAATGTGTATACTCCCACTGACCTCTACCCCCCACCCACATACACTTGCATAGTCTACTCTTATGTGTACTCACCATATGCCTCCATAAGAACCATCGCCAGTGCTAGGTAAAAGTAAATCAAAAGGTTAGATCACCGGTCAGTGTTATTGTAATGCATCAATAACCAAATACATGTTAAGAAATACAAGCCTGCGTATAGTTTTGACAAGAATCTGTACTCGTTGACAGCTTAATAGAAATATAACTTATTCTAAATTGTATGCTATTTAAGGGGATGGTATGTAATAATTGTTTTGTTACACAAGAACATCGATGCAACATTTTAATATTTTTAAATGTATGACCTTATAATTCATGAAACAACCCTTAAAACAATTTTTTTTGGTATAAATCCTTTATAAAATGTAACATCGAGCAATAGGGAGATGTGGGCGGGGGGGGGGGGGAATTAAAATTTGAAAAAAAATGAAAACAGCTAACTCCCTTTATAGTAATCCCATTTAGTGCCCCACCCCCACACAAGGCCCCAACATTTTTTAAATCCTTTATAAAATGTAACATCGAGCAATAGGGAGATGTGGGCGGGGGGGGGGGAATTAAAATTTGACAAAAAATGCAAACAGCTAACTCACTTTATAGTAATCCCATTTAGTGCCCCACCCCCACACAAGGCCCCAACATTTTTTTCACGCCCCTGAACTATATCAGTATTCTAATGACCCACCCGTTTCTACTAACGAACTACTTCAGAAATGCAAAAGAAAGAAATATCAACAGCATGTTTATGTTCTATTTGAAGAATCTCATTTAGCGCTGTTATCGGGAATTTTCCTTCATGCTCTCCTTGAAAAACAGGAAAAATTGATATTTTCGGGTACGAGGGTGTAGCTGAAAATTTGATAGAATGTGATGTCATCGGCAAAGTGTCTACGTGCCAAGTTAAAGATCTAAAGCTTGACGGGAAGCGAGTGCATTGGCCGTCCATAGATTTTGCCAGCCATTCATCGCAAAACAAAATTTAATATAAAGGATGTAAAAAAAAAAGTTTTTATATCGCATGTGGCACAGCAACTGTCCAAGGACTAGGGGGTGACAATTCAACGGTCCAAGGACTAGTGGGTGGCAAGCCAACGGTCTAAGGACTAGGGGGTGGCAATCCAACAGTCCAAAGAATGGGAGTGGCAATCCAACGGTCCAAGGACTAGGGGTGGCAATTTAGCCATCGATGGACTATGGGGTGGTAATCCAACAGTCAATGGACAATGGGGTGGCAATCAAACGGTCCACGGATTAGGGGTTGGCAATCAAACGGTCCATGGATTAGGGGGTGGCAATCCAACGGTGCAAGGATTAGGGGGTGGCAAGCCAACTATCCAAGGAAAAAAGGGGTGGCAATCCAACGGTCGAAGGACTAGGGGTTGGCAATCCAACAGTCCAAGGACTACGGGGTGGCAATCCAACGGTCCAAGGACTAGGGGTTAGCAATGCAAAGGTCCATGCAATAAGGGACATGATGATAATGAAAAAAGTGTTTTGTGGTCATTTTATTCATAATACAATACAGATAGCAAATAAACGTCTTTTAATTCACTCACCTAACACAAAGAACAGGTTTTTAGCCATTTCCGCAACAAACTTTCTCCACTGTTGTATATGAATAGAGAAAGTAAAGAAATTGTATACATTAAAAAACATAAACATAAGGCGAGAAACAAAACTTGTCAAAGTTATAAAATACTTTCATATTGTAAAAATAGGTCAATTCGTTAAACAATAAAATAATACATTTATAAATACTATGTCCTCATGAAGTGTTGTTGAAATGCGTTAGATTGATAGCATGACATTCAGGTGTTTTATGACAAAAAATTCGCATATTGAGTTATTTCCTCAAAAATTTTATGGTTTTTCATTTTTTCATTTTTTAAATTTGTCTTTTAATTTTCTTTGGTTTGTGGGGCAACTTTCTTTTTACTATATGAATATGCATTAACAAATGAATTAAAATAAACATTATCAAGGTTAAAACAAGGTTGTAACAATAAAAATTTAGAAATCTTTGTTAAACAACTTAGCATAATTAAACTGTATTTTTCTCATGTCTTTGTGTTTATAAAATCATTTGTGTCCACATGTGTTCACGAAAACATATCTGGAGTTCCGAACCAGGATTTAACAAAATAGAATGACTTGCCTTGTATCTCAGACCTGCTAACAAAATATGATGACTTCCCCTGTAACTCAGACCTGTTACCCAATTATGATGTCTTGCGTTGTAACTGAGATCTGTTACCAAAATATGATGGCTTGCCTAGTATCTCAGACCTGCCACCAAAATATGATTGCTTGCCTTGCAACTCAGACAAGCTAACAAAATATGATGGCTTGCCTTGTAACTTAGACATGCTACCAAAATAATGGCTTGCCTTGTAACTGAGACCTGCTTTCAAAATAATGGCTTGCCTTGTAACTCAGACCTGCTACCAAAATATGATGACTTCCCCTGTAACTCAGACCTGTTACCAAATTATGATGTCTTGCGTTGTAACTGAGACCTGCTACCAAAATATGATGGCTTTCCTTGCAACTCAGACCAGCTAAGACAATATGATGGCTTGCTTTGTAACTTAGACATGCTACCAAAATATTTAGGCTTGCCTTGTAACTGAGACCTGCTACCAAAATAATGGCTTGCCTTGTAACTCTGACCTGCTACCAAAATAATGACTTGCCTTGTAAATCAGACCTGTTACCAAAATAATGACTTGCCTTGTAACTCAGACCTGCTACCAAAATATGATGGCTTTCCTTACAACTCAGACCAGCTAAGAAAATATGATGGCTAGCTTTGTAACTGAGACTTGCTACCAAAATAATGGCTTGCCTTGTAACTCTGACCTGCTACCAAAATAATGACTTGCCTTGTAAATCAGACCTGTTACCAAAATATTGACTTGCCTTGTAAATCAGACCTGTTACCAAAATATTGACTTGCCTTGTAAATCAGACCTGTTACCAAAATATTGACTTGCCTTGTAAATCAGACCTGTTACCAAAATATTGACTTGCCTTGTAAATCAGACCTGTTACCAAAATATTGACTTGCCTTGTAAATCAGACCTGTTACCAAAATATTGACTTGCCTTGTAACCGAAACCCTTTAATTTGCTCGAGGCCTAAGGTTTCTCTATATAAGCCCTGCCCTTAGTTACCATACTTGCTATTGAGAAATTACTTCGGCCAATCACTGAGCTTAGTTCAAAACGAGGTGGGCTTAATGTTTATTGTTGAATCCCCCCCCCCCTTTTTTTCCCTTTTTTTGCCAACTGGCCCCTTTTTTACGACATTGGGAATGAAATAAAGAAAAAAAAATCATAATGTTCATGATACCTTTTGTTGTCCTACATGTGACACAGGGTCGTGTGGCAACGGTGACGTCACAGCAGGTTAGAAAAATAATTTGGCTCAGTCCAACAAGATTTTGTTCTTCTTTTACGGTCTGTTAATTTAAGGCGCTCTGTCCTCACTCTGTAACTGTCGTAGTCTTAAGATAAAGTCATGTAGGTTCTCACTCTGTAATTGACGTGGTCTCATGATGGTTCTTACTCTGTAACTGATGTGATCTTAATATTAAGTCATGAAGGTTCTCTCTCTGTATGTGACGTATTCTCAAGATAAAGTCATGGAGATTCTCACACTGTAACTGTAGTAGTCTAAAGATAAAGTCATGGAGGTTCTCACTCTTTAAAAACGTAAGTCCTTATTTTGTTTTTCTCAATAAGCCTGGCCACCTTTTGTGATCGGCATATTCACGAGCTGTGCTGCCCACTAAAGAAAGTAAACTCATCCCAAATTCTTATCAAGCAAAAATATTATCTTATGTTAATGACAACATGTATATTTATACACAACATGAATACACAAGGACGTGTATCTTGTGAATAGGTTTTGACACTTAATGGTGGATATCTGCTATTAATAGAACATCAGAGCATTGAATTTGGCCAATGTCACTATAAGACGGAAAGATATAAATGATACATCCGGGCATTCCGTCTGGCCAATCTCTCGACAGCTGTTCGTCACTTCTATGTTAATGTTGGTTAGCGTAGTAAACTTGTATACCTTTACACCTTTATATCGCGTTAGATTTTACAAACAAATTGTTACAGCTCCAAAATATTTATGTTGTAATATAAGGTTAGCAGCAATGTGTCACGAAAAGCTTGTCAAAATATGTTAACATTAGGGAATACGCTGTGACGTTTTCCGGTCTTAGAAATGACTGCAACCTAAGGATTGGGCTGTTGGGGATGTTCCGGTTTGAGAATGATTACGATACACGAAATCATAACTTGTCCTGGCACCTCGAGTCTTCAATTGCCGTCTCTTCATGGGGGGGGGGAGCAGGGGCACGTTAGAGTCTTAACCTGGCGAACGAAGTAGAACGTCAATACATAAAGAGGTGGCCCAAGCGTTAACCCAACATAAAAGATGTCCAACAGGATATCGTCCTGCTTGACAAAACGACCGGGTACACGAGACCTGTCGCAATCGTGTCTTGACGTTGTTTCCATTGTTGAAACGTTTTATAATTTAACATTTTGTAGTTCGATTGCATCTACCCAGGTACAAATTGTTGACTTCGTGCCAGAGGTAAGTGCCAGATTTTCATATACATTATAGTAATCAAGCATGTTCATGCAAGTAGTTTGGGCAACCAAATGCGCCGTAGAGATACGGTAATATCTCGAATCTCTGACATACAATGATGTATGAACCTAAACGAATTTCGTTCAAGTTCTTTTCTTTACAAGACCCTGTAGATACAAAATAAAGATATCATTAAGAGTTTTGTGTTAATACATTACATATATTTGAACAGTTTTAAATGTGCTTACAGCATGTCGTCGGTAGAAGGGGCGGTTGGACAAATTTTATGGGGAGGAGGGGGGCATTTGCTGTCAACTTCATATACTTTAGAGATTTAATGTTAATTCCGCAGGTCTTGGAGTTTTCATCAACTACTCGGATACTACTTCTAGCTAAGTGCAATTTTTTTATTTAATCATGTTTTATCTGTTGTTTGTTCGCTGACGAAGGCTTCCTTCCGACACGTTTGTTTGTTTGTTGCGTTCCTTTTTTCATGTTTGACTATATTTTTTTACGCATTTCCTTTTTTCCTAATCTCCTTATAGTCTCTTCGCTTATTACCATTGTTCATTTCCACACGCCTTAAAATATTTTATTTCGTTTTTCATGTCCTTCTTGATTCTTATAGTTTTGCAAGGTTCCTGGGGGCTGTGGTTAGTAAACTGGTTGGAGCAGTTCCGAATGCAATATTTGTCTGTGGACAGGCCAGCAGCCCACTGCCACTGAGACCGCCAACTGCAAAGATGAGAATTTCACTGCCCGTGCCATTGTTGTTGACACTCGTTCACCATTAAAAACGGCTGTCTCCTCGCCAGAGCAGTTAAGAATTGCTCATGAACATCTACCCCACACTTTCAGTGAAATGCCCTCTTGTTGTTTGCACATTGAACTACCATTGGTGATACCAAAATAAGGGACTAGATGTATCCATTAACCACCATATTTGGTGCACATACCCCGATCCAATACCTGGTGGACTTGTTACGAGTCCTAGTGGCGATAAATCCTATTCCTTACCAACTGGACATATCACGATTCAACTCTCGGTGGACATATCGATCCATCTCCTGGCTGAAAATTCTACTGGAAGAAGCGGACAGTGCGCCTAAGATATTTAAGCACATAATTACAACACTCGACATGTCCTTACTAAGATGAAGTTTGATTTTTTTACTTCCCTATTCCTATTAATACATACATGCCCTTCCCCTCTCCACACCTTATCCACGCTGGCCACATGCTAAAGTTTATTTAACTCTTCAAACGTCACCCTACATAACCCCAGAACAACATCCTCTCATTCTAACCGCCAGTTTAAATTCGTCCACTACTGAACCCAACTAGTCAAGCCTTTGGGGATGAAGCGTGTTTTTTTAAATAAACTTTATTATTATTATTATTATTCACTATCCATATGGATTAATTTATATCCATGTTTTGAGAGAATTCTCAGCAATGAAAAATAAATCATCTTTCAAAAATTTAATTTTTTTTTTATTTCCCTGAATTTCATTATTGCAGGTTCTAGAGTCATGATCATGTCCAATGTTTTGTTTGGCCATTCTTTATGTCGGCTCTTGGTGGGTTTTCAACATAATGCACATCAATTGAAATCTTAAACAACCAGGTAATAGTTCAGCCGTTATTTGGGAAGATAATTATGAATATTTTTTTAGAAACTTCAAAAAAACATATCTTTGAATGTTATTTCATGTTATTCGAGGAAGCGCATTGGAAGTTGTAGATACATAGAAAAATGATAAAAAGGTCAGTTTTATAATCTTAAAACAGTTATAGAAAAACTTGAAGCTTCCAGAATAACCTAGAGACTACATGAAACTGATAATAAGGTATGGAGGTATTGAAAAAACATATAAAACTATGGAGGAATTGACAGAAAGATATAAAACTTTGGAGGTATTGACAGAAAGATTTGAAACTAAGGAGGTATAGTTAGAAAGCTAAGAAAAACTATGGAGTATTGACAGAAAGGTATAAATCTATGTAGGTAATGACAGAAAGATATAAAACTAAGGAGGTATTGTTAGAAAGATATAACAATAAGGATGCATTGACAGAAAGATATAAAACTATAGAGATATTGACAGAAAGATATGAAACTGTTGAGGTATTTTTAGAAAAATATAAAACTATGGAGGTATTTTTAGAAAGATATAAAACTATGGAGGTATTGACAGACTAAGGGGGTGTTGTTAGAGAGATATAAAACAATGGAGGTGAGCTAAAATTTCCATGGGACATTTATTTCAACTTAAAACCCACATAGGAAGAATCAAATTGTATAGAATCACCTAGAACTGTAAGAAACTTTACAAGGTAAATCAGTGATACTAAGAAAATTCCAATGAATGTGTACGTCGCAGATAAGCCTTTAGATCTAAAATAATACAAATCCCCATGAAAATATCGAAATTTTTAGAACGCTTAAGATTAAATTTATTACCTCCCCTTAACCCTCCCCCCCCCCCACCCTCGGGCCCCATACTTCACACTCAAATACTTGTGACAAACAACTATTTTAAATAATCATTTATCAATAACGAAAAAATATCTTTAACAAGGTGGCTGTAATTTATTACCATTTTTTTGTTGAATTTGTAAGAGGGGCCCCGCTGGTGGGGTTCATTCTATCAGGTGCTGTTCAGTCATGCATGATACAGTAAGTCTCGTAAAAATCATTGAGATAAATTATGGAGTTAATATTTAAAAGTTGTCCTATTGACATCGGTTTGAAATTGCCGGAGTGCTGACTTTGGCACAGATATCAATCATTAGCCATAATGAAAAGTGGGGTGTTGGGGGGGGGGGAACTGCACTT